CCTCCAGCCTGTCCGGTGAAGCACCCACTAACAGCACTTCCGTCTTGTCTGGATTGAGTTCCAATTTATTAACCCTCATCCAGTCCATTATCAGGTCCAGACACGAGTTCAGCACAGAAAGCGCCTCACCTGGATTGGTGGAAAACGAGAGGTAGAGCTGACTGTCATCAGCATACGTATTGTTGACTCCTCAGCCCAAACCTCCTGATGACCTCTCCAAGTGGTTCCATGTAGATGTTGAACAGCATGGGGGACAGTATCAAGCCCTAAGGAACTCCATGACACAAGTGCCATGGGACAGAGCAACTCCCCCAGCACCACCCTCTGGACACGGTCAGCCAGGAAGGAACGGAACCACCAACTCCCAAACCAGCCAGCCTATTTAAAAGGACACCATGGTCGATGGTATCAAAAGTCGCTGAGAGGTCCAGGAGTAATAACAGGGTCACACTTCACCTGTCTCTCTCCCGGCAAAGGTCATCATACAGGGTGACTAAGGCAGTCTCCATACCAAAACCCAGCCTGAAACCCGATTGAAATGGATCCAGAAAATCCGTTTCATCCAGCAGTGCCTGGAGTTGCCCGGCCCCAACTCGCTCCAACACTTTGCCCAAGTAAGGGAGGTTCGCCACTGGTTGGTAGTTAACCATCAACCTTGGGTCCAGCTTAGGCTTTTTTTAAGGAGTGGCCGAATTACTGCCTCTTTCAAGGTGGTAGGGACCACTCCCTCTCTCAAAGAGGCATTCACGGCTTCTTGGACCCAGGTGCAACCCCTCTTGACAGATCTTCTAATTAGCCAAAATGGGCAAGGGTTGAGCGGAGTGGTGGTAGAATGGACAGATACAAGCACCCTGTCCACATCCTCAGGTCTCAACAATTTAAACTCATCCATTAATAATTGACCTAAGCATGGCACACTGGGCACATCCTCTGATTCTGCAGTAACAGTGGATTCCACTACAAATCTGAGCAATTTCCCCCTCAAAATTGAATGGCAAACTCATCACAGCGAGCTGATGAGCAGTCCGGGACCTCCACTGGATTTCCCAGTTGAAGAAGATCCCGGACCACCCAAAACAGCTTTGCTAGACGACATGCTGAGGAAGCAACACAGCTGGAGAAATATTGCCATTTTGCCAGCCGTATTGCCACAAAATAGGACCAGTAATGGGCTCTAAGTTGTGTTTGACTGGACTCCCAGCGGGATTTCCCCCACCTGCGCTCCAGCCGTCTCCCCTCTCGCTTCATTGCCACAGTTCGGAAGTCTACCAAGGAGCTGTCTGGGCTCGGTGAGCAGGGAGATGACACTTAGGCACAATCATGTCAACCGCCCGGGTCATCTCCCTTTTCCATAGGGTGACCTGAGCTTCGACAGGAGCGCCAACCATATCAGACGCATAATCCCCCAGAGCATTCAGGAAACCATCTGGATCCATTAATGTCCGAGGGCAGATCATCTTAATAGATCTCCCACTCTTGTAGAGAAGAGAAGAAGCTAATAGACTAAACTTGACCAGGAAGTGGTCTGACCATGATAATGAGATCACAACCAGCCCCTCCACACCCAAACCACCATCTTCCAGTCCCATTGAGAAAACCAGGTCCAAGGTATGGCCCTTCTCATGTGTCGGGCCAATGACGCATTGAGATAACCCCATGGTTGCCATGGCGGCCATGAAGTCCTGAGCTGCCGCAGTCAAGGCAGCCTCGGCATGGATGTTGAGGTCCCCCAGCACCAACAACCTGGGAGTCCTCAATACCAGTTCCGAGACTACCTCCATCAGCTGAGGCAGGGAGACTGCTGGTACGCAGCAGGGTGGGCGGTACACCAACAGAATCCCCAATCTGTCTCATAAGCCCAACACACAATACAGGCCCTCAAAACCTCCTCTGAAAGGGATAGGAAGCCTGGTCATGAAGATAGAACTCCTACAGACTATAGCAACTCCCCCTCCCCGACCCTCCGAGCGACATTGGTGCTGGACCGAGTGTTACATACAGCACTGATGTTACCTGTCTGTCATGGGTTTGGAGGGAAAGTTCCATCCTATGGGGAGTGGAAGGCGGGACATCAGGAGGAGGGGCTGTACTGTATAAATATGAGATGCTGAGACAGACTGTGAGACACTGGGTTGGGACGAAGCAGCAGCTGGGGAAGAAGAAGCTGTTGTGGGAGTCTGGGTGTCTGACAGGGTACTACTGTGTGTCAGAGTACCAACCTGATAAGTTCAGGTGTCTGTGGGTTAGCCAGAACTGATGGGTTCAGGGTCTGTGCTTTAAGTTAAAGGTTCTAGGTGAACCAAACTGTATGCTTGTGTGTGTGAGAATAAGCCACGTTACTTTATTTTATTCACCTGATTGTTTTATTTACCCTGTTTGTATTTAAAATAAACCTTATTCTTTTGTTGTTTAAAAATCCATCCCTGGTCTGTGTGACTTATTATAGGGAATGGTTGGTGGCAGCTTAGTAACTGTGTGATAGATCCCAGTAGGTCTGGGTTTGTCACACCGAGTACCCAGGCGGACACAGCTGGGAGAGGGGAACACCACCCTCCTCTCCCACCCAGGTCTCAGTAATGCATGCCAGGTCAGCAGCCTCACCCAGAATTACATCTTGGATGAGGGCAGTCTTATTTTGTACTGGCCTGGCATTCATCAACAGCACCGTGTGGCTCGAGGATTTGCTGACATGGTCACCTGATACCAACTGGTTGGGGGTAGGACTAGAAGAGGGGATAGATGTAAGGTATCTAACCTCTCTTCTCCTACGTAGGCATGTTCTACCCCCACCGCCATTCCTTCCCCTACCCAGCACCACCTCAATGGCTGCCCGCTCTAACGCCATCCCCCCTTCCTGTTCCCTCAGATCCACTATGGGTCTCTCTTAATTGATGGCAATTAATAATTACAATTTATAAAGACCCTTCTAAAGCCCCTCCCCCCCATCCAGGTGGCTGATGTTGGGAGGGGTGGAGCAGCCAGGAGTAGCAGGGCCCAGTCCTGGCAAACAGAGGGAGGCTGAGCCAGGCTCCGTTGGAAAAAGCTGGCAGCTGGCAGGGGTCCAATCACAGTCCCATTGTTTCTCACACAGTGACCTGTAGAAGGCAGATGGTCTTCGGCTTCCCTGAGCGCAGGAATGCTGGTCCTGTTCACAAGTTGTGCTTGATATACTGTGGCCCATCAAATCTGATGACAATAACATTGTTAGTCCTTAAGCTGACTCAAGACCATTTGTTGTTTTTCTCATGCTGTACATGTGATATGGGAGATTTTTGTTCCCTGACCAAAGCCCAACAGACTCTTGTTTGGGATACCATTTCTTCTTGTTCGTGTCTCCTTTCCTCAGGGAAAGCAAAGGAGCAAGTTGCAGACTCAGCTTTCAAGGAGGTGGTTGTGTTCTGGCTAGGAACCAGGGAGCCACACTCGAAGTGCCAGGTATTTTATTCTTCTCTTGCCTTCCTCATGCAAAGGAGGTTAACAAGGGGTGAAGTGCTTATGGCTCATCTGCTCTTCTGCCCATTGTATGTTCTGAAGGAAGGTGAAGGAGATTCAGGGAGGGGAAAGGGACTCACCTGAAGGTCTTGCAGGCCAGATAGACCAGACTGATTGGTCTCCAAGTCGAAAGCATCCTGTCCCTATTCTAAATGTGCATAGCCTGCCTGTCTAATGATTTATATTATTTTAGAACAGAAATGGGCAAAATGCAGCTTGTCAGCCACATGCAGTCCCAAGCAGCTGCCCCATTATTATTATTTTTAATTAGCTGGGTTTTTAAAATAAGAAAAATATTTGGGGTGCCATGGGAAGTTGCAAAATCTAAAACTTTTCCAAGTACAGTAAGACCCCCTTATCCATGGGATCAGTCTTGACTTGTTCTGCAAGCACTTTCTGATACAAGAAATGGCTATAATACAATGGGGATTTAGTGACTCCACTCTTCTGTAAGTCCCATTGGTTCAAATGGGCCGACTCTAACTGCAGCTGATTATGCCTGAGTCACAGTTAGACTAAAGCCATTTGAATCAATTTAATTTATGGAGGTTGATTCACTGAATCCCCATTGATCAAAGGGGCCTACTATAGTATAATTTTCTATGCTAAGCAACAGGATTTTGGTCACTGTATCTAATTATTAACTATGTTCAAAATGATAATTTAATAAGTGTTCGAAGAAAGTTAGGTTATTTATTACTTAAGTGGGTCCTAATCTTCATTGAGTATTACTGTTCTGGGCATCATTTCCCATAATTGCCTGATATTGACAATCTATTTATTCTTAATATTGGAAACATAGTCTTAAAACTGAAGGTGTGTACCTTCTGCATGCTCCCATCCTGAATGACAGTCTGACCCTTGCTGTGAGAAATTCATTTCACAGTACAATCCTTTATTTATTCAGAGAAATAATGAAAAAAGTCAGTTTATGTTTAAGTAACTTGTAAATGAAGCATGCACTTACTATTGACCAAATCCGTATTGAAAGGAAGCTATTCCTGAAATACTGAACACGGCAGATCGTGGCAACAAGAGTTGTTCGCACTTCCTTTAAAAAGTAATTAGAAAGGTCTGTCTGGATGACATCTCCGGAATACTGATGATGAGCGGTCTGTAAGGAATCATTTGGACCACCGTGAAATTAAAGATCTTTTAAGTGATGAAGGACTTCTCTTTTCTAGTGGCAGGTTATCTGCTATCTAAAATTTGTTCTCAGAAGAAATGTTTAGGATAGTAGTGGCACCATAAATGTGAAACCTTCTGGGAAAATGTCTAAAATAAATCAAACTCACTCTGTTCAGGGTAATTATGTATGTTATACAGTCTATCATATAGATGCGTAGAGGACAACTGTGCAGCACAATATACTCGTTTGCTTTGTTTATTCAGGAGGAGGTTTGACTTTCTTTAGGAAAGTGTATTTCCTAAGGAGTGGGTGAATGAACACAGTGGGACTGATTTTCTATGGAAGCATACATGGAAATGCACTATCAGCAAGTCAGGTTTCAGTGTTTAGTTAGCTTCCTCATCCTCATCTCCTTTGCCTGTTAAGAATGCATATATCACTGCACACACTCCCAAGAGCCAGGCCAGCACAATACCAGCAGAGAATATGCAGAAGCCAACCAGGCCTAAGAACAGATAATCTTGGTGATCAAAATGGATGTAGCACTTGTAATGCAGCTGCTCCTGGGCCTCTGCCAGCATTCTCAAACCATGGACAAAAGCTGGACTGTAGCAGGTGACATTGTCAGTGTCTGTAGAGGAAATACAAGAAGGATTACAATCTTTGTATTGTTGGGTTTCTGTTAACTGGATCCCACCATTGCAGGTGGAGGCTGTGTTTATATACATTGTCCCTTCCTCCCACCCCCTTACTCAGGGACCCTGGCAGCAGGGCAGCCCAGGGACACAGGGGGCAGGAGGAAGGAGGAGGAAGAGCAACAGCTAGAGCAAGATGTATCTGGGTGGCTGGAGTTGGGGATAAAGAAAGAAAAGGGGGAGTTGACACTGGGATTTGAAAAGGTGTAGAAGGAGTTGCCTTCAGTCTTTTGCATCCTTGGGAGCACTGGCCCCTACTCCTCCAAAAGCCCCACACAAGGGAGTGGGTCAGTTTTGCTTCCAGGGGAGGCCATGGTGGGATAGTGCCCATCTTCCCCCCACCTCGCCGCCACATCTGGAACTTCCCAATGGTGGCCAAACCATCCAACAGCCTCAACAAGGAAAACCCATGCCCGACCCAGAAGGGTCACTGGAGGTGGTGGCACTGACATCTGAGACTCATCCAGCTGCCTCAGCAGGAGGAGGAGCAACTCTGGTGGGAGGACCCTCATCAGCAGGGCACTACTAGCCCTCATTGGTAAATGCCAGGTTGCTGGAGCTATAGTGCCTGGATCCCAGCCTCAGTCATAGGTACTGGACAGCCGGAGGCTAGTGTGAGAAACTAAGCCATAACTGCAAACAGGGATGCAGGAGGCTACTGCTAGGAACTGAGCCCCACATGGACTGAGAGGATGGGGGTACCAAAATGTATGGTCTGGGAATGTACCCCACTCCCCTGCCCCAATAAAAGTTAGTTGGAGGTTATGGGAGCTTCGGAACCTTCTTCTGGCCATGCTGTCTTTATGTGAACTGCCTGGAGTAGTGCTGCGGCACTAGAGGGTGTGATATATCAAACTGAAACATCAAATAATAAATAATAATGCCCTACCTGAGATGGAGGAGTAAAGAGTTGTAAAGTACTCGCCATTGCCATTTTTAAAAGCCCCCTGTTTGCTATTACCTCAGCCCACCAGAGCACCACCCACTGTGTGTGCCTCTAAGCGAGAACGATGGTGGAACAACCACTCGCTGTTTGTCTCGTTCCTCAGAATCCAGCAGTCAGCGGGCAGCTGCTTGTCCTTTGTCTCAGACTGAGGATCTTGTCATAGTGAAACAGAGTGAGCAGTCTCTGTGGATGAACTGGTTGCACAAGAGGACCAGCACATATCTCTAGAGAGGCAGCCTGGGCATATGTGCCAAAATCAGG